CCCCCCCCCCCCCCCCCCCCCCCCCTCTCCCTTTCCTTTCCGTCCCCCTTAGGGCTGTTTTGCATCATTGTTAAAGCAGTACGCCAATAAAGAGGGGAGCAAGCGATGAGAGGTTTTGAAGAGATCTTCGCTTCACCCAAACTACGCATCTGGAAATTTTTAAAGTTGTTTTGACTAATGCTGCATTAATTTGTAGCTCGCCTACTGGCGAACCAAACATTTGCATCGTCTCCTGAAAGGATTACCAGCTCAATGGTTGCTCCAACAAAAGCACTTAACAAAACTTTAGCTGTTTCAAGAAGTCCTTGTGCTTCAAATAATGAGATTCCCTCTTGGCTGTGATAAGAAGCGTTACTACTTAGATACGTTCCTAATCGGTGTAGCTGAAAAAAGCATGTGATATGAGATCAAAGAGTAAGAAAACTAACGAAATTAAGTGTGACAGCAGTTAGTATGAGAGCTGATGAAAAATGAATGAATGGCATTGTCCAGCTCCAAATAAGCGTCAAATAGTGAATCAAAGTTGGGAAGAGTGGAAAGAATGCGAGCGAATTTTCGAACGTATATCCGTAATGGGCGATATGCAGAAAATGTACAGCATCCCATCTCGCCAGGCCACCAAATGCAATCCGAATCCAATAATCAGGACGTGAAAGCTCTCCTGTAAAAACAAGCATCATGCTATAAAACAGAAAGGTATTTTTGAAGTAGGAAGAAGCAGAGAAGAGCAGATAATATTAAGAAATTAGTAAAAGTAGTAAAATTATTTTAATTAAATTATTATAATGGTAAGGGGTATTTCGGCCCATTAAGCCATATACATTTCTTACCATTACCACAATTGGACCTCGTCAGTACGACGATTATGGTAACTGTAATTGGTGTAAATTAAATTAAAACCGGGGCTGAAACGCACCAGGCGAGCCGGTGCGATCATGCGTCTTTGCACATTTCGTGCCGTAGCAAGTTTGCAGCAAATCACAGTAGCTAACCCTGTGACGTACTGGCCCTCGAAGTTCGGGAAATTCATTGTGGAGCTATGTAGTATGCCAGTTGTAGATGTCGACTTCAGTGACCCGACAAATGGAAGGTTGCTGGTCCGCAAAAAAGGCCGCACTAGGAGAGTTAAATTAGAAATCTTTTAGTCGCACAGGAGTAGGGAACATTCTTCCCGAGTTAGCAGTTTCCCCATTATAATTTTCACGTGTCCGTACTTGAGTACCAGACGGTTTTAAGAAGCTGAATTTGAAATCTTTTAGTCATACATGAGTAGGGAACATTACTCAAAAGTTTCAGCTTTCTAGCTTTTCTCATTCCCGAGTTAGCAGTTCTCGCGCCAAAACTTTCACGTGCTCGTACGCGATGCCCAGACGTGCGTAAGAGTTGATACCGCGGCCCTTGGGTGGCACTTGGCTGGGAAACACACTGGCAAAATTTCAGCTTCAAAGCTTGAGTGGTTAGCGAGTTGAAATATCCGGACAGACGAACACACACAAATACATACACACACACACACACACATACACACACACTGACAGTGTCGTTGCAATATGCGTTTTTGCTGCTTGTTGCAGCGTTCTAGCGCTGCACGGCAAAAACGCATAATTAGTTAAACTAATTAAAATTAGTTGTACGAAAACTAGTAAAAGTACATGTTAATGAAAGTAAACGTAAAAAGTATTATATGTAAAGTAGCATCTTACCGAGAGTGGGCTTTTTACACATAAGTTACACATGAATTCACTTAGCAGATGTGAAAAAAAGTATTTTGAAAAAGTAACCTTTTGGGATTTGGATTCCTTGGAATGCATCGGTGGGGTAATCCGTAACCAGAGCATTCAAAATCAATTGTAAGACGAATAGTAAAATACGACTTATTACGCACTGTTTCAAAATAAAAATTGCATGTTCGGTATCCCATCGACATTCTCGCTTAAAAAAAAAAAAAAAGATGCTTCATTTTTATGCTTTTTCGATTACAGTGAATTTATCAGATAAATGGATTTTAGTGTAAAACTGCTAAGGGATGAAACACTGACTGCATCCAAATCTGTCTTCTTGCACCCGATGCTTAGACTGATGATTGATCCCTTATCTCCTACTCTATTATCTCACTTACTGAGACTTACACTACGTCCAAGAGTCCAAGCAATGGGTTATTTGATTTTTATAAATATAGGACAACAGGATTATCGTGGTTAGATCGTAATTTTAGGTTTTATAGGTTTGAAAAATATTTTGTCTTTAAAGTTTTGTAAGTGTCATAAAATAGCTTATAGATTTTATTCTTACTTGGCGGGGTTAAGAATTTTATCATTTGATTTATGTTTAATGATGTTTATGAAATTGAGTTTACTGGTTATATTTTTTATTTGTTTATTTTTTTTGTTTTATATTTCTTATCTTTGATTAAAGGATGTTTTTTTTTTTTTTGAGAGTGTTAGTGGACTAGAAGATTGTCGTATATTTCGACAAGGATTTCGTCTTTTTTTTTTATTTAGTGAGTTAGCATTGTTTTTTACTATTTTTTGAACTTTTTTAGATGCTTCCTTTTATTCTTTTATATGAGTTAGAGGATTTTGATTTCTTTTGGGGGTTTTATCTCCTGATTATGTTGGATTGAATGCTTTAGTTAGAAGATTTTTAATAATTAATAGTAATATTTTAAAATGACAAAAAATATGTCCAGCTCATAAAAGTGCCTTAAAAATTAGCATAATTTTCAGAAACTGCACCGCACTAAAGCTTTCAAGAAAAAAGAACCTTAGTAAAATATAATTCTTAAAAATTACTTCTTAAAAAATTTTGCTCCAAAAAAATGCTAAAAAAGAACTTAATCATCCCATGTAATGAAATGACGAATGACCAGAAGGCTTCCATCGTTCGCTAAAATCGAGGACTGAACAGTACTGAGGATGTACAGAAAAAATAAAACTGTTTTCTGGCTACCAAAAGGGAATTTGGGTGAAGATATGTGAATTGTAAATTGTTCTAAATTATCAACAAAAACCAA